AAAACTCAAAAATTGTAGCAGAATAAACCTCTCTTGCTCTGCATAGACGGTGCCAAACGGAGTCGATCACTGCTGGCGATTGCATCTAAAACCCATTTTCGTCATATCATTTTTTAAACTAATATCGTGATTAACAGTAGCACGACTTTCATTCCACAAATATAACAAACATATACCAATACAAATCTTTCTTTATCAAAAATGTCAGTCTTTACTATTGCGGGGAGAATGACAAACAAAACATACAAAAAACGTCATGCAATCGGCTTGCCAGAATAATACATCCTAACCATGGCTGATGCGTATTGCACATACATCCTTCAAGATAGAGTTTCGTGCAAGTTCTGGTTGTACTGTGAGCAACAACGAGAATTAGTCTCCTCCGAACCGCGTTCTCACGGATACGGACAAACTGTAGTTCGGAATTTCACAATCTCGGTAAACTTACTGCACTGCGCTGTTTCCTTTCACTATGTATCTGCGAAAATGGCACTAACATAAAACAGGATGCTAGTTCTGATAAAATAACGCCGTGGGCTTCCTCTTTATTCTTGTCTCTCTGTTTTTATCCCTTTTTCTTTTTGGTCTTGATTTAATTCATGTACGGATCGACTAAGTCTCAGAGACCTAATCCTATGACTACCAAATAAAATATTGCCACAGCATGCTTCAAACTTATTATTTATCAATCTTTTCCACTATCTGTGATCCTGATGAGTAACAATTTTAATTTTGTCAAAAATGTCGAATAGTCATTCAAACTGGACTAAAAGTTTTACTGACTCAATGGCAACGCCAATGAAGACCACTTTATGGGAACAAGAAATCTTTTACAAAAAAGAATTTTTTGTACTGCATCGCATCACACCCGATTTGTATTGGACTGCTTAATGAGCCAGGGTCAGATACAAAGACTCATCATCATGATTTTTAAGAATGCAAAGGCTGGCGTAAATCTTTATGAAAGCACAAGAAGTTTAAAATCGAAACGGGTATTCGATAAAGTGATCGAATATCATAAAAGTTATTCAAAGCAGCATTAGAGTCTAAGAAAACGTCACTACTTAAACTACGTGCGGTTTGCAGACGATAGCCGAATCGTTTAAAGTCACCAGAGGAAGTTCAGCGAATAATCCAAGAGTTGAACAACACCGGCGCCAAAGTAGGACTGAAAATGAACCTAAAGAAGGCCCAGGTCATGTTTAACAAATAAGTCACTACGCCACCTATTGATGACAATGGACCTAAACTTGAAGAATGCAAATCAACATCTATCCGAACGGTTCTTCTTTACAACGGACAGCAGATTATACGAAATCGGCAGAAGAATAAGTGGCTTGAACTTTTGCAAAATTTTCTTATCCGTGAAACTGCCACTCTCCTTCAAACAGAAAGCATTCCATCAGTGTACGATTCCAAAACCTACAGGTGCGAAACGTGAACCCTAAGCCTGAAAGCCATTCATGAACTGCAGACTACAATACAGCATGGAAAGGTATATTTTACCATGAAAAGATAGGATGACGAATGCGTGGGTAAGAGTACATACAAGTGGCTAGGATGTCACTGTACGGTGTAAAAGCTGAAGTGGCAATGGGCAAGAATTGTTTCATAAGGCGACTATCGCTTGTGTAGAGAGACATTAGAATGGGTTCAAAGACGCAGTAACGGCACGCAGGAATACCTCCAGATCGATGTCAGAATGAGATGAAGTGGTTCATTGGATCAAGATGGACAAGAATCACAAAAAACATAAGTTATTTGCAAATTCTTGGGGACGCGTCTATCCAACAGTGAATCGAACAAGGCTGATGATGATCATATCACAAAAAAAATTTGATCAAGTTAAATTAACATAATTTCAGCCTGGAAAACAGAATGTGAGGAAGAAAGAGAAACAGACAATAAAACAAAGAACAGCCAACAAGGAGGAGGGAAATAGTACTATACAACACAAGAAATAAACCTCGGTATTATGGTTTTGCTGATAAGCTGCTAGTTTCCAATACCGTTGGTCAGTTCGCCTCATTTAGACGATGCAGTGCACCGTCGCTTGGCTTCCAGTGGTGCTGTTTCGAGCCAGTACACTACAAGTGTCAAAATACTATTGAGCCACGACCTGATTAAACGGTCCCCTAGGCTACTAAAAGCAAGGGGACGATGCGCTACGCTGTGTCAATTTTCAGAAGCGACATGAGAAAGTACTATGCAATAGCGAGCATAATTAAGCAGCGTCCTTTAATAACCTTAGGATATCTGAATCCCATATTTGTAGTTATTTCGATGCCTACACAAACGTAACGTCGAACATTTTTATCATTACGCACGTAAGTAATTAACACCATAAGACGATTCATGAGCAACAAACAGCTATTCATGTTACGCATGGTAATAGCATCTTTTGGAGTGCAAGACCAAAGTTTCGACTGATATGATCAGCTTTTATCAACTGCAACCATACAATCGAACTATCCAAATTTCGAAATTGATAAACACTGGTAAAATAAAGTTTAAAGGTTTACTGTTTGAATACCATCACATATGGACAAAAGAAAACAAAACATGAACAGCCAATAAACATCGCACGGTTATCACAAAACCAGCAAAATAAAAAAACGAACAATTAGCACTGTTAAATAATGCCGCATCCCTCTGTTGCGTTCTCTAAAAACAAATACTGAAGGGTTGAATGACCTTCTACGGAGTTGCAGCTGGGGAACAACATTAACAAATCTGGTGGATGCGCTGCAAGACAGGTACTGAACAAGGTTGCCGCGAGGAGAATGGATCGAACTATTCAAGATGTTATTTTCAACCAGCATAACATGCAGGATTGCTGGTAATCAGCAAAACATTAGACTAAATGGCTGTGTATGCGCCGCAAGCTTACTCTTGCATCATAACACTGTTATCACCGCGTGCATTATTATATTTATTATATATCACTAAATCTTCTTCAGCATATATTCCTAGTGTTATTGCCAAATCAATCAAATGAAATGCCAATTGTAATGCTGCAGCAGAAAAAAAGTTTCTCGTGCCTAAAAAACCCAATAGAAAGTCAATATAAAAACAAACAAGAACTATCAAGAATTCAAGTAAGCAACTAGCAATAACCTCTCTACGCAATCCAAAAAGCTGACTTTAAAAAAACGTTCTTTTGAGGGTAAACGTACTGAGTTTAGTTTGGCCTGCTCTACCAAAAACTTGGCCAAATCGCAAAACTGGATTTCGACGCAAAATTAAGAACTGTCAAGTAGAGATTTCTCAGCATGGACGGTGGAAATGCAAAGGACAACAGTTACAAGTCGCGAAGTTTATGCAGCTACACGATAGCAGTTCTTTGTGCACTTCTGCATCTGCTCAAACCCAAAGGAACGAGACAAGCACACCTGGAGAAATGGCTAACGCGCCACTCGATCTAAGATACGTGTCGGAGCGCAGGTGTGCCTTGCGAGCCACCAACTCGAAACTAACATAAGACCAGCAGATAATTAATCTGGTTTCTTTTAATAAATACTCATTCGAGCAGTAATAATTCTTCAGTCTATCTGTGTCTACTCTTATCTATGGGCATTGGAGCTGGGTATTAACCGAAATTATGCGTGCATCGACAATCTAACGTTTTCAATTTCAGTCCTGTCGTTGGAGCTATTGCCCTAAAAGCGAAACAGCGAAGCACACTGGAAATAACAATTACATAGACAAAATTTCTGCGAAAGGATCTAGTGCGACGGGGATCGAAAAAGTTCAGAGCATAGGAGTCTGAGGAGTGTGAAATGCTCCTCCCATGAACGTTGCTTCTCTGGACTGACAGAATATCATAGCTGCAGCCGCTTCAGCAGTAAGTCAGCTGTGGTAGAGAACAAAGCTTGAACGGTACAGTTGCGTAGATTAAATAAGCCGGAGCTATTTGAAAGGGTACCTCTGATTTACACTAGGTTTCATTCTGTATAGTGGAACGAAGAAAGACAGGCAAGATAGGTTCACTATACTCGGCAATAAGGCAAGCTTATCATTCCAAAGAAACTTGAGGATGGGAGTAACATGAATAAGCATTGAAATTTTACTTCATACGTAAATACACGATAATCCTAGATATGCATGGCTCCAATGACCGGCTGGGTTTTCCAGTCCTCTTCGATCAAGTGATAAAATTAATCGATTTTTGCACTTTCATATAATTCCTCCACATGTAAAAGCAACTTTTGCTACTGCTGAAGACGGAAGAAAACTACAACATAAACCTGATCCCATCCATTCACAGGACTGCCGTGTTCATATATCAAGTAAACTCCTAATCAACTTAAACTTCAAAAAATAGTTAAAGTCAGATCGTTGGACTCTGACGAACAGCTGACAAGAATTTTATGCCTGTACAGATGTTGCTCACAGACATATTCATACAGAACTGGAACAACGAGAAAACGACCACTTATACACAAACACCATGTTAACGGACTCATTTATATTCATCGCAAAAATATGGCCATATGCTGAAAGAAACTTTGTCATCGATTCGAATTAATTTCTTCTTTTAAATTTCTGCTTCTACTTGTCTTTCTTCTTCTAGTCAAACAGCGTTTGAACAACTAAGCTGTCTAAGCACGTTTATCATAATTATTCTTAATGATCCATCAAACTGCTCAAAAGCTCAAGACTCAAATCCAACATGTTCATGATATCTATTCAGACAGGATAATTTCAATAGACGCAATTACGCAACATCTTTTCTAGTCTGGTGCGATCCTCGTAGCTCGAATCATGTTTAGCTTTATCCACTGATTTCGATGGAGATTAGTGATCGTCTTTGTACTCCTGATTACGCTGTCTAGCAGTACCAATTGCTCTGGCAAGAATTAAGGTTTCGCTTCCATTCGATTTGTGAAGGACAGTGCTGAGTGTAAAATTGAAACACATTATCTGCTGAATCTCTTGTCCCTTTTCGAATTCATACGACGTTCTGGCATCATCCCGTTGCTTCTAGTTACCTAGGGGACTGTTTAGGTAGGAAATGGAACTACGGTATTTTAGCACCTGCGGTATATAGGCGTCAAACAGCGTCACTTTGTGTGGTCGATCATTTTCATTCTTGTCATGAACAGCAATCAGTAAAAGATCGACCGTGTTCACGACTGGTTCCCTACGTTGCTGAAAACATGTTGTGAAATGGCTATATAACACTTGCGACATGGCACTATTTCTTTAAACAGCATATAAATTAATGACTAAACAGGAAATACCTCGGACGCAACCCTTGTTGTTTGTTAAAACTTTCCAATACAGCCGAAACTTCAGTCAGCAAAATACGCAAGTTTACTACTTGTATCGAAAAGCTACGGCATTTTCGGTCGATGGACCCACATATGATTAGAAGTTTAAAGTCGCACGTACTTCAGCAACCGTTTACACACATCGCTTCTACGAACCTACTCGACATAATAACATATTTATCGTCCTTCTAGGGAATGAATCAAACAGGTCAAAATTCATGGTATATGCACTTGCAACGCATTAATGCAAAAAATGTTCCAACACTCACATGACTTTATCGGTAAGTATACTACAAACATAAATAAACATGAAATTGTGCATTTACAAATAATCGTGAGTTTCCGGTACTCCATCAGTGCGATGATACACTGTAAAGTCATCGCTCGCCTAAAAAATCCGTTCTATAGAAGTACGGGGTCGGTACGAACTCGCCGAGAAAATCCAGAGAAGCGACTCGTCTATGTTACGGTAAACAATGGGAATAAAAACTGGTCTTTGCCGGTAAGTTCAGAATGTTATGGGCATGTCTGTTTGTAAGATAATAAGCTAACTATACAAAACTTTATATTCTTTGATTCAACCACAAGTGATGAAAAATTGGCGACCGTAACGTCGACAGTGTAGAACGTATATACGCTCTCAACAGCAGTCGTTTTCTGCCCTTCCGACAACTTGACTTTAAAACCTGAATGACAGGAACTGCTTCAAACAGATTCAGCGAAGCAAAATGTTACATGTTCTCTGAAAGCGACTTGGCCATTGTAAATGCCAGGTAAGTTAACAGCCAGTACAATAACATATTAATTAATGAACAGATTTGTTTTCAAGACTTGAATTTCGTGGCAGAAAAGTAGGCTTTGAACCAGGGGGTGCCGAACTGAAATCTGCTCAGAGGACAACCTTGGCCTTAGCCGCGAATTTCCTTAAAGCATGAATAATTAAACGCGCACTGCTTCGGCCACAAATAACCGAGAAACAGATAGAATATCGGTAACTTTAGAATAACAAGATTGGGATTGGGATTCTTGCATCGCTATGCCCGAATAAACGAAGTGTACGCCATGCTGTCCAATATGAACGAGCGCCTTTTCTGGCTGTAGTTCATCTTCACTTACCTGAGAGCTGGCTATTCAGTGTAATGGTTAGAACAAAGCGCAACCAGATTTCGATTCCTGATCTGAATTCTACCACCCGAAGTTTGTTTCTCGGTTTCCACTTGTTCAATAACTACGAGGGGCCTTCATCACTGCCTCAGCAATCAACCTATTTAATCAGTCAAGCACACATCACTTGGTCGCTATTCAAATAATTGTTTGACCTCAAAGCACGCATGACCTTGCTTACTAGATTACTGTCCGGCAAACGGTCACGAGTTGTCAATTTCTTCTATCATATGAACTCAATTACAACTTCTGCGCGAAACAAAATGCACTAATTTTAAACCTGTCGCGACAACGCACTGATAAAAGAAGAACACACGTGGAGCATGCGAATGTATGCTTACCTCCGCTTACCTCCCAGAAGATAATCTTGCCGGTTGGATCAATCAAATCTGGAGCCCGAAAACTGTGTTTATACTCGAATCGTCGCCGAATCTCCTCACATTTGTACATGGAACAAATGAACAACAACAGTAAAACAAACATGCTACTGAACCTACGCAGTTCAACACGTATGCAGTACAGCCGATGTAACCACCAGAAGCAACGTGGTTACAGCGGTTACAAACGTCCAATACAGTATACTGATTCATCAAGTAATATAAGAAAAGATCCAACGCATTCAAATATTGACTAATGGCAACGCGATATCTACTGGCGCATGAACAGTCATTTCCTCAGCGTTTACTTATTAAAAGCATAACTGAGTTTAATTGTTGAAGGATCAGAAGATAGTATGAATAAATTTTATACAACGTCAGATAATCAAACACTCGGAAAAATATAATACAAAAGATACACAGCAGATTACAATATAGATTGAGAGAAGATGAGGATCAAGGACAACAGCTTAGTTACTTTCGAACTAAATTATCGAATCAGAATGATATAATCGTGTTGCGTTTCTGATTATTTGACAAACATCGCTAGTCTTTCTGAAATAAAGCACAAAATATTAAATTCAACTGTCTGAAGATACTGAATAGACGTATTACATAACACACAGTATTTTATCTGAGAAAGCTGGACGAGATCCACCGTGCAAGCCGACTCTTTCTGATCAAAACGAAGAGCATCTGATACTTTTTCAATTAATAACTGTATTCAGCAAGTGTCAAAACATTCTTTCAAAACAAAAGGAAGTGACATTCATCAATTGACTCTACAGGTGTCGATCCTAAGCTCGGATGAGAAACGAAGAGGGTTGGAATCTGTAGTGAAGTCTCCACAAAACTTAGCTATCTGCTCCGCATGGAACTGATGATGTCCAAAGTAATATCGATTCGGTCGTCGACCAGATTATCAGCGTCGGGGCAGGCTGCGAAAACTCGGTGATCAAAAGCTGCTAATTATCTTCTAAAAACCGGGAGCGCAACGGCACAACAACGGCTAACGAAGATCAACAGAACGACGACCAACACACCAATCAGTGACTGATTCGCTACTCGGTCTGAACAGAGGAGGTACACAGCGCGATGCCACTCTTGCATGTCAGCAAAGGCTACATGAAAACGACACCGCCAGTGGCAGCTTTCAGTTGAAAATTTGACTATACCCACGTTCGGAAGAAAAGAGCAGAAGTTAGTTCATGAACCGATAAGGCCACAGAATCAAATGGGATCATTATCTTCGAAGGATACAGAGGCGAAATTTGCAAACGACATCTCACAACAGTTTGAACAGATCTCGGTGATTACTACTAATGTAGAAACCGAGTTGCAGCTTTTTAAGTGTGGCAAACTCGAAGCTGCCGCCAAACGATGCGAACTTAAACGAGTTTGCCTGTCTCTTGGAGGTCAAAAAAACTTCCAGGTGTACAGGTAAGCTACAACTGGCAATTAAAAAGAAGGCTGCTTTCAGGAAATGGCTTAGAAGCAACGAGCCTTCTACTCGCCTTCGATATGTCGAAGTGTGCAACGCGGCAGCGAGAATAGTGGCGAACGCCAAACTTGATTATTCATAGAAGTATGGTGAGGTATTGCAGGCCAATTTCCGGACAGCAAAGAGGGTACTCTGGCACGCCATCGGCCGGCTCCGAAATGAAAGCAAGGGCAGTTCAAAAGTCTTAAAGGGCAGGTCAGGTCTGAACACCATCTTACCGAGGATAAAGATATTATACGACAATATAAAGAATGCTTACTCTTAACCCTGAGCAACAGCAGGAAGACTAGCTTGTAAAGCACCAGAGAATGGATTTTGCTATTTCTGTAGATTAAATTGCACAGGCTGAGTAAAGTTTGAAATGTGGTAAGGCTGCTGGAATTGATGAAGTCCTTGAAACGCTCAATGCATTAGGAGAAGTAGGCATGTGCTGGCTTAAACTTGTGTATAAAACTGCAGTGGCTACGGGCAAGACACCAGCGGACCGTAGAGGGAGTTTTGTTGTATCCCTGTTCAAGAAGTGGTGCCACAGGAGGTGCTCCAATTATCGGGGCATCAGGTTATTCAGCATCCCAGGTGAAGTCTACGCAACGGTTCAAGAAAGCAGGTGCAACGAAATAACTGATTCCAAGATACCAGAGGTGTAGGGTGGTTCCGGTCCGGCCGAAGCACCTGTAACAATATATTCGCCCTACGCTAGGTTGTTCACAAGTCAAGGGAGTTCCAGCGAAGAGATAAACCATCGAATTGGATTAGCCAGCGCCGTTTTGCGTGAATAAGTCCGCACAAATGTGACTGAATCAGAGCTGAATCTGAAGACAAATTTCTTGGTTTTTAAGTCAGTCTTCATCCTTATGCTTACCTACGATTTTAAGTCGTGGTTAATGACTGACAAACTTCGATCACCGGTACAAGCCACTGAAATATGCTTTCTGAGACGAGTCGCTGACCTTAGGCGTCTTCACATTGTTCGGAGAGGAGACATCCGCGAGATCTTTGGTATAACGCAACTGCTTCTTCAGGTTGAGAAGTCCATTTACGATAGTTTTGGCACGGGATACATATTCTTCGAGAAAATGAAGGCAAAGCAACCACTTGCCTAGCCTTTTGACAGAAGATCGCGAGGACGGTCAAGATTACCCTGGTGTAAATATACGGAGGGAGTCTGCACCAGATTGCAGTTGTCTTCTGGCGAAGCCCAGACTCTGGTACACGGTCGTGAAAGTTGGAATCACTGTCGGACGTGTTTGCCTCCGCGACCTGAAAGTAGGAGCAGTCGTGTATGATGATAATGATGACGATGCCATTCATAAGATTTTAATATATCAATGATAATTAAAGAATATCTTGTGGAAGCAGCAAATACACAACTGATACCACTCAACATTTTTTACAATGTTGCATATCAGCTGTCAGTTTTGAGGACCGCTTTTTCTGTCGGTTAGCAAAAGAAAAGATGTCCAACATAGTTTCTAACTCTCTTTATCCAGCGCAGCACTGGAATTTCTGCAGAAGGTACCTTCACTCTGGAGCAGGGCATTTCGAGACCCTTTCCGAGATTATTCTTCGCCATCCCCTCAGTCTTCGGTTGGTCATTTATACAGCTAACTGCTGCTTCGTCTTTCTGTCTGGATGCATTCGAAGGACCACCAAAGCTGGTGCGAATTCTTAGTGTGAAGAAGAA